ATAAGAACCGGAGGAGTAGCTTATAAGTAACTTTTAATAAATGATTGTGAAATACTAGGTAAGAGTGTGAGAGAAATTTTATCTCGGTTATGTGAAATGTGTTTATAGGGGATTTTTTAAACCCTCCCAAATAGGTATTAAATTGAATCGAGCATGTATTTCTTGATCACGTTGAAAAGTTTAAGCAGAAAATTGGGGGGGAAAAATCTAGGTAATTGGGCGAAATACAAAACAATGAAACATTTCATGTTCTTTCAGGAAGATTATAATTTCGATTTTATATTGACGGATGCAACTTCATTTAGATTTGGACAGGCGGCAGATAAAAAAGTTAAAAGCAAAAATTCTCACAAATTATATCAATGAAGTATATACTACCCCTATCATAAATATAAGAACTAATAACTAATTTGAGTAGATTAAAAAAAAATAAGTTAAGTTAGTTATTTGTAATAAATAGGTATTGTTTTTTCTAAAAATATCCTCGCTAATCAAATGTATTGGTTAGAATTATTCTTATTAGAAGGATTATCTTAGAAAAAAAATGTATAAATATGAAAGATAAAAAAGATTGAAGTCTTAGATTTAGAATTAAAATAAAAATTAAATGAGATCTTATATTAAAAAGTGGAGGTAGCATCATGAATCTCATATCAAAATGGTTACCTTGAGCGCCTTGTAAGACCTCCCCCTTTTGGCATAAAACAAGTCAATCCCATATACTAAACACTTTTTAATAAATTTTTCTCAATTCTAATCTCAATACTCACCTCTCATTCTTAATACTCTTTTAATACTATCTCCTATCCTATTTATAAAACTTTATTTGTAGTTTAAAACGAAATCTTATAAATAACCGGAGGTAGTATAAGACATATTTAAATAATTTGATTAGATTAAAGAGATTAGATAGATTAGTTAATTATAAAAAATATGACATGTTTTTCTAAAATATCATAATCATCTTTCTTAATATTCTTATTTCTGTCCTACTTGATTATGGTTGAAAGGGTATTAATAAGTATATTTAAAAAAATTGATAAATATGATAAATAAGTTTATATTTACGACCAAAATTAACTTAATAATTAGATTCTATAATAAAACACATATCACGCAGGATCTTAGATTCTTCGCCTCCCAGCAACTAACTATTACTTTGACTCATGCTCATTATAGCAGTACTTTCATTAAAAGCCGGCCATCAGCTACTAAACAAAGTACAGTGGTGTGAAAATGCTTGCGCTCAATTACAGATATCAACAGCCATGTGATTTAACTTGACGTGTGTTTGGCAGGGGGCAAGGAAAGGGAAGGGAAAAAGAGTGATCTTGCTCCGTCCTTTTATTTGGCTTCCCAAAATTTGTAGGAGAGAAGCAAAAAATTTTCCACGTCTTCTCCATAACCCTTCCCTCAAAAACTGAGAGGACGGTTAGAGAGGACAAACAATATTTTGTCTTATTCTATCTATTATGGGCTTGTTTGGAAGGATTTAAAAAATTTTATAAGCATGTTTTACGTAAATCGAGACAAAAATTTCTCTTATATATTGTCTCATATTTTATAAATTATTATTAAAAAGCTACTTATAAATTGTTCTAGGACTTTGTACCTGTAAGTATATTTATTATTCCAAGTTACCCTTTTTTACACCCTCACGCTAGGCAGTCTTTGGCTCCCCCCTCTCCTTCGTCTTCCACCATGACCCCGCCGCTGCTTCTTCATCTCCCAAGAATCGGAGCTCTCCTCCTTCGCCTACTTCATCTTCTCCTTCTCCATCTCCAACCGTTGACACTCAACTTCAATCTCTGTGCCTCCTTCATCTTGCATCTTTATCTCCACTGTCTCCCCTTCTTTTCCATCCTCTATCTTCATATTCGACTTGACTGTGACAATTCATCCTTTCACCAGCACGACTCCTCCGTTTTGACAAGGCATCAATTTTTGGTTGCCATCCACAATGATGTTACTTTTCTTCAACTTAATTACAGCTCTGATTGGATTTCTACTTCAACATGTTGGATTTTTTTTCCAACTTGAAAAACAAATAGTTGCCAAATATTGCTGGATTTTTTTTGTTGTTGCTACCCACAGTGATGTTATTGTTTTTTTTTATTGTTAATGGATATAATAATTATATTTATTCAATTTTAGTAATCATAAAATTATAATTTTATATATTAAATAGAACAAGTATAAATTTGTTCTTATAAAAATATTTTTCCTCTCTTCTCCTCCTAAACCAAACAAGATAACATTAGTATCTATTCTTTCCCCTCCATTGTGATCAATCCGAACGAAATAATATTAAAATCTTTCTCGTCCTTTTACCTTTTATTCCTTTCATTAAAATCCCATCCCTCCCCTCTTTCTGATTGAGTCAAACAGATCCTTAAACAATACTCCTTCGGTCTTTAATATAAGACTTAATTGTTGAGTTGGTTTTGGTCCTAAATATAAGACTTATTTCTTATGTTTATCAATTTTCTCTAAATTACCCTTATGGATACTCTTTCAACCACAATCAAGTAGAAGAGGGATATGAGGTATTAAGAAAGATGATTATAGTATTTTAGGAAAAATGTGTCATTTTTCTTATAATTAACTAACTTACCTAACTTTTTAAATATAATCAAATTAGTTATATAGATGTTATATTAAGGATCAGAGGAGTATTACATGCCACGTGACACACGAAGCTAGGCATTTTCATGACCGATTTTCCACTGAAGACGGAATGATCAGAATGTGCAAAATCGTGCATGTGTTCTTTGCAACTGAAACTTGAGAGACCATTAATCCTTTTTTTATAATTGTAATTAATAAGTTTAATGTTCGGTTGAAAACCTTATTAGTTGATGGAAAGGGGCACACAAAAGCCATAGGGCTTAGATTCAAACATTTTTTATGCCTCCTTCTTATCCAAGAGAGACATGTTGTCTGCTATCTTTAAGAATTGATATTGAATATTTGTTCTTCACTTTTTTTAATTTATAAATGACGCAGACTTATTGCATATACTTTGATGATAATGTTAAAAAATAATGATATTTAATATAAGGGTTAGATAACTAATTTGAAGAGATTAAAAAAATTAGTTAAGCTAGTTATTTATAAAAAATGTGTTAAATTTTCTAAATTACCCTTAATAACTACTCCCTCCGTTCCTTATTATAAGATCCAATCTTTTGAATGTGTCTGTCCCTTTTTATAAAATCTTCTTTGAGTTTGTCTGAACATTTAATGTATTATTATATATTTTACTTTTAATTTAATATATTTAATACATTCTCTTTCTTTGTTTATCTCACTATTACTATCTCATATTTACCCATTTATATATACAGGTATATTTGAAAAAAAATATATTTGCTACGTATTTATTGTTTTTAACTAATTTTAAACTGTTTTTCTAAACCGCTTAATTTAATTAAAAAAATTTTATAATAAAAGATGGAGGGAGTACCTTCTGGTGGAAATACTTTAAAAACATTTTAGAAAATACATTATAAATTTAAAAGATAAAATTAATTAAATTCTTATATCTGAAACATTTAATTAGTTTATGTATCTAGGAACGAGATGACAACATCAAACGGGAACCCTATAAGGGTAAATAAGTGAAGATCTGCAGAAAGGACCACTTTTATTCACAGGTCCTGTGCATCTGCCATCTTTTTAAGAACTTCTGGTACATTCTAAAGTGACTGTGCTCAAATGGTAAACTTCGTAAACTTATTATAAAACCCACTAAAGACACTAATGATTGTATTAAACAATGATTAATCATTATTTTAGTATTATCGTAATAAGTGCTTGGTCCACGTGTCCCGCAAACGAGGCACCTCGAACGCGACGAATTGTCCCTCATCTTCCAGAAGGTTCCAGCCAGCTCGTGACTTCAAATTTAAAATCCGCAACTGCGGTTCAGATCTTTCCACGTGTCCCTATCACCATGTCAGCATCCGACGTGGCGGTCCTATATCCCTGTAATTGATACGCCCCGCCCGTTCTTGTATTGTAAAGTCTTAGTTTTTTCTTCATTTCGCTTTCTGTAGTCCCTTCTTCTCCTTCTTCCTCTTTGAGATCGGCCGTGCAGGAGTGTTCGTTTCTGTTGGATTCAATTTCTCTATCGCCATGAATGGAAATGAAGCAATTGAAAATGAGAAAATGGACAAGCTCCCGGAGAAATTAGTCTACATGTGGGGATACCTTCCTGGAGCTTTGCCGGAGAAAGCTCCCATATTGTCTCCAGTTCCTGTCATGCTTTCGGATCCGGTTCTAGCCGGAGATTCGTGGATGGACGTGTATGGAGGTGGTTGTGGATTCGCCATGGCCATCTCAGGTTCACTCTGGGATCTTTCTGTCTACTGCCACTTTTATAAACTAAGTTCAGATCGAATAGTTATTTATCAAGTGGAAACTTAGATCTGTCTTGGACAAACTGATTTGTATTGCTAAAGTTCGAATAGCGGATTCTGTTTTTCTGTGGTTTTGCAATTTATAATTTTGTTCTTTTATGTTATATCTTCTTCTTCTTCTTCTTCTTTAAATTTTTTGCCCGTGGTGATGGGATGTTGCTATCTAAGTTTCCGATTTTTGTACTGTGCATTTCAGAGAATGGGAAGCTCATCACGTGGGGCTCCACGGATGATGAGAGTCAAAGCTACTTGACATCAGGAAAACATGGGGTAATGCAATATTCTTCTAATGTTGAACTTGCTTTTGCAGTGCATTTTCTTCAATTTATTTTGCTACTTCTTCTCCCTGCGTGTTTTGAAGGAGACACCAGAACCTTTTCCGGTGCCTACTGAAGCTTCGGTGGTGAAGGCTGCTGCTGGCTGGGCGCATTGCGTCGCAGTCACTGGTAATGCATCTTGGCGTCATAATAATTTTTATATGAACCATATATAGCAAATTAGCAATGAATTTCTTGAGGGATTCTCACTGTTTGGATGCTTGATGTAATGGTGACGAATATTGTGATTGGAGGAGTTTAAATACTTTCAAGAGGACCTGAGACTGACCACTGACAATCGAACGATATCTTTTGTTTCACGGGAATTTTTTCCTTAGATTGACCGTATTTGTGGCACCGTTGATTTTTTCTCTCTCTCTTTCGTTCGTTCTTTTTTCTTCTTTCGAGAGAAGGGTAGAGAGATTTTTTGTGCACAAGTTGCCTTTGGCCACTGATCTCACTGCTCTTTTTTTCTTTTTCTTTTCGTTTTTTTAATTATGGCAAGCCGATATTTGAAGTTTTTCACGTCATTGAATGGACCGGTCTAGAAGTTTTTAAGCAATCGATCTAGATGTTTTTAAGCAATCGATCTAAAGTTTAACTTGTTCATGTCGTATGATTTGGAAATCTGATGGACTGGAGATGTGGTGAAATATCATAAAGTAACACTGAACACTATCTTGAATTCTGTTTGTCACTAACCTTATATTTGGTACGAGGGAAGGGAGGGAAAATTTTAACGAGCTCGATTTAAAAAATTAGAGAAGTAAGGTTATAAAATTTTGATAAAAGGAAGATATAAGATAAAAGAGCAAGCAAAATTATCTTAAAGTTTTTAATTCCACTTCTCCAATTTTTAAAATTGGGCTCATTAAGATTTTTCTTCCCCTTTCCTTCCCTCTGTTTCCCTTGTACCAAATAGAACGTAAAAGACTTTGTGTGTGGGTGATTGAATTTTAGGCTTTTTATTCCCTCTTTTAATAGGTCAAAGAAGCACATGACCTAAATGCTTAAGCACTCATGCAAGGACGCAACATTTAATTTTAACACATGTCCAATTCTATGTTTGAGTTCATAATGTTAGTGCAAATCGATTTAAAAGGGTACTTGTGCTATTTGTTTCAGGCTGATAGCCTATTTCTTTCTGTAATCCAATTTTTAATAGAGTGTATATGTTGTTTTTGTTCCGAAGTGCAAAAGACAGAATGTTATTTAAGACTGTTTGCTTATTGAACCTTGTGTTCTTTCAATGGTTATGCCCTTCCACATTGTTTGACTAAAGTTAAGAAATTTATGTGCAGAAAAAGGTGAAGTATATGCGTGGGGATGGAAAGAATGTGTGCCTTCTGGAAAAATTGTTGGTGATTTCCTCATTGGTAGAAGCCTTCAAAAAGATGCTGCCGGGAAACAGGGCTCTTCAATAGCTGAACAAGGTGGCCAAACATTGCTTATACATGCAACAGAATAATTAACAAAGCATAGAGATTTCTCGACTTCATTTCAGGGAGCTAATGGAATTCAGACATTAAACAGGAAGCCCACAAGGCTCGAACACGAGTAGTGGGTCAGATTCACAACTTGACAACAAGAAAGTTGGAGAGGAAACAGTGAAACGTAGGAAGATATCACCGGCCAGGCTAGAATCTGACAGTCCATCATCTGGAGATGAATTTTTTACTGTATCTCCTTCACTAGTTACTGTTGGTCATGGGGTGAAAATTACCACTGTAGCAGCTGGTGGGAGGCATACATTGGCACTGTCTGGTAATTGCTTTGTGTCTATCTGGACAAGTGGCTATGACCTTGTAATTGTAGTTGAATATTCATTGTGGTCACTGTGTGTGGATTTTAAGGTTCTATGAAATACAAAGGTATGGGAGATTTTTATATAAAGAAAGACCCCTGATGCACCATATTTTTACCAAAGTTTTCAGATGTGGGACAGGTCTGGGGTTGGGGCTATGGAGGCGAAGGACAGCTAGGTTTGGGTTCTCGAGTGAAGATGGTATCTTCTCCTCATCTCATACCTTGTATTGAACCATCGACTTCTCAGAAGGATAAGGCATCAGCAATTCATCAAGGAAGTATGGGTGCTATAACTCAAGCTTCGAAAGTCCCTGGAACTTACGTGAAGGAAATTGCTTGTGGAGGGCGGCATAGTGCAGTAATAACAGGTCAGCATATCAGATGTCTTGTTGTCCGGATGTCTCAAGTGCTCAAGATTATTAATGAAATTGCCATTACAGTTTTTGGAATTTATTACAAGCCACATGCCTACAACAAAATCTAGTGTCTAAAGCCACTATTGCTGAATTAAGTTTGAAAGTCTATCGATCAAGTGCCAAATATTTTGTCCACTATGTAATTGAAGGGATATGTGAGTAAGTGGTTAATATGTGCATACCTCTAAGTAGCTTTATTTCTTCCTCTTGCAGATGTGGGGGCGCTACTTACTTTTGGCTGGGGCCTCTATGGACAGGTATTGCTATGGTTGTCAGATTATTATTTTTTTCCCGATGTGTTTTCATTTGGGTATGGAGGGAAGGAACTTAGTTTATTTGGCCACTAATAAGTTGGAACTAATGCAAATGTATAGGTAATATTATTGTCAGGGAAACAAAAGGCTATCTTGAAGTGGTTAATGAGACATGTGAAGATAATATGTATGCACACGCGTGTTTTCATATTTTCTTGAAGTTTGACATGTCAACTTGATTGTTTCATGTTGTATGTTTTTGTGAGTTCTGCTCTTCGCAAAATTTGGGTTTGAGAAAGTGAAAACGGCAAAAGGTAAATTTTGAGTAGTCTGCTCCCAGAAGAGGAGGAAAGGGGCAAGTAATTGGAAGCAATTGTCATGAATTAATTGTGATAACTGCTGGAACCAATTACAACAAAAAAATGTCATGCTTGGAAAATGGCTTTTGTTTTCTGGTCTGGAAAAAAGCTAAAGAAACCCAGCAGATAAGATTAATTATGTACAGGTTGTTGGTATTGGTAAAATAAAGATAAGTGCTTTGAAAGTTAGAAGTATAACTTTGTAATTATTAACCCAAAAAAAGTTGCTCTCGGGATTTATAAAGCCATCCCTAACTTATATTTGAAAATGCGCAATGACCATATTGAAGTAACGATCACAATTATTCATTTCCTTTACTCTGGACACATGACACTAACACTCTACATGTACAAAACGAAATACTAGTAATTTTAGCAAATGGTACAGATAGAGATATTAAAATAACTATTTCACCAATTGCTGGGAGATATCTCTGGAATGAGTTTTACATTTGTGGCATGCATGTGTGAAGTGACAAATCTTTTTCTTGTTCCAAAAAGTCTGTTTAAAGGTGTTGCGATTTGGACGTATCTGCCCTCCAGAATTACTGAAGACATGAATGGAGACATGCTTTGAGGTTTATAATGAACTCGCCGTTACTGACCCCGTCCTTACTGCTTCCTCCAAATGTCATGATTTCAAATTTTTAAGTACTAGTCAATAAACATTGCTGTGAAGTGAGAGGATTTGCCATTTGGTGGTGCACTTTATTATAAATAAATAATAATTAAGTGGCCTATCTGAGATTCCCTTATATCTTCTTCTATTCAAATTTTGTCCAGTGCGGGCAAGGGAGTACTGCTGATCAGCTGAGACCAACATGTGTACCTTCTTTATTGGGAACTAAAGTGGAAAAAGCTGCTGCAGGACTATGGCATACACTGTGTGTAACTGTAGATGGTCATCTTTATTCATTTGGCGGGAACCAGTTTGGACAGTTGGGTACCGGTTCTGACCATCTTGAGGTACTTTTCAAGGCACGATTGATTCTCTATTTTTACAATTTGTTTTTATAAAATAGTAAAAGTTTGGACCAACCTTACATCAACCAGCTCATTGATATTAGTATGATCGTTTGTCATCTCTGAGGAAAAAGTATCATTTTCTCAAAAATGTGTTGGGATAATAACATCTTTCTGAACAGCAGCACTCTCTTAATACGTACCGATAAATTATTATTCTATTCTCCTGGGAATCAGTTATGGTGTTATCGAGGAGAATCTGATATCGATTGATGAGAATAAATTAAGACCAGAGCTTCCAACCTAAATGTGTCAAATGAACCCTAAATTTTCAGTCAATGACTAAAACTTCAGTCTTTGCAATTAATGAAATGAAAGCTCACCTACAGATATATTCCGAGATTTAGCCTACGGAATAATTTTTTTATGTGGTTATATTTGAAGAAATATAAATATTGATCTGTTTGACCGTTAGCTTGAGAATTGTATCAGGCTAGTTAGGGGATAATTATTTTGCCCTTGTTCACTTACACTATTTGTATCTGTTTCAGGCTTCACCTAGACTCTTGGATGCTTCATGTTTGGAGAATAAGCACTCTAGTATAATTTCTTGCGGGGCTCGTCACAGTGCTGTACTAACAGGTACGTGTTCAAAACTACATGCCGGAGGAAACGTTCAAGAACCATTTAGCGTGTCCATGTGGACTGAAATTATGACCCATTTATCATTTTTATTATCACTTGGGGGGGGGATAATTGAGGAGTTGCTTGTGCAGAAGAATCATTTTATTTATCAAAACATGACAGGTGAGTAACAACTTACCGTACCATTTCAAGTCAATCATGAGCTCGACATGGTACGCTGAAACTAATAAACTTTTGGCAGATGGTTACCACGACTTCCTCAATACTTTGTAATTCAAGTAACTCCATGGTGGCTCATGCACTGGTTAAATACTCCTTTGGAATTGTTATGGCTTGACAAAAGCTATTGCTATGCAATCGTTAGTGAAAAGGGGTTCTTGTTCTTGAGAATATTTAGAACATTATTTGGTAGAAATACGACAAAAGATGTGTGCATTGCGTATTCAATGACAACTATGTTTGAGAAATAATTGTTGCTAGTATTTGAATTTACTTAAGGCCTAATGAAGTTGAATAAATAGGTTGAAATTTAGAAATGACATTATTCACTGTTTAGAGGTATGAAGATTTTTGAGTCAATCATAATTGTTTTAGTGGGAGCAGAAGCTCTGAAACTGTCCCGGTAGGCAGTTCCAAAAGCACTTCCAGCTTTTGAAATGCTTAATGTTTATGAGTTGTATCGACAGGTTGTAAGGTTTTGCTACTCAGGCCACGTGTGTTTTAAAAAATTCCATCATTTCTAAACTCGATGCCTTTAATGCGTTGCGCCTTAGCTTGATATCTTCCGTTCTTGAATATAATCACTCTTTAAAGCTGATTAGTAATTTCTTTTTACATCTTAAACTTTTCAGTGACATTCTTGATATTATTCCGCTTATTCTTACAATGACTGTTATGTTTGCATGTTGAAGACGATGGTCAGTTTTTCACTTGGGGATGGAACAAATATGGCCAGGTACTCTATATCTTGAGTTAGCGGATAAATAGGAGCGAAATAAATTGTTTATTATCAACTGAGTCACATAATATGTTGAGGAAATTTGTTGAAACATCCAATTATATACTACTTGACTCCATATTTTCACTACATTGGGAATGAAGTAAAATTTTCATCAAGATTTGTTTTTATATGTTTAAACATCGATTTCCCCCGTTTTATGTGTATGCTTGGATGGAAGAGAATGAATGATTAAGAAAAAGAAACTGTATAGAATATTTAAGTTGGAAATTTCTCTTCCCTGTTCATACTACTCAATCTAAATACCCTTCATTTTCTCCTCGACTAATTGATTATTGTCTCTTGTGCACAGCTTGGGCTGGGGGACTCTCTGGACAGAAACATCCCTTGTCAAGTATCTATTGGTGATTGTAGGCCACGAAATGTAGCCTGTGGTTGGTGGCACACGCTGCTGCTGGCGGATAAACCTGTGTGATTCCAAATTTGTCAGATATCGCAATCAAGAGAAGAAAGTGGCACAGTTTTGATAGGAATTTGGTAAATCAGTAGGCGACATATCATTAATGGAACGTAGATGTGTCCAGAATCATGCAGCATGTTTCTTCACCTTAATTTATTTCTTATTTCCTGATTTCGCTGTCTAGCTCTTTCCTTGGTAGAGATTGTAGACTTGGCAGGCATTGACAATGAGATACGAGATTTCTATTGGTTTGCTTACGCACAATAAATATCAGTGACTGTTCAGTTTATTCTGATTTCTAATGGAACAAGTTTTAGATATGAGGAAAATGCTGCGGAATTTGTGCTAATCCTTGGCTGTGCTTCGTTTCAGTTCAGAGTGTTTACCATATTTTCAGTCATTAATTATAAATCTTAATCTTTTTATTACTTTCACTTTATATTGTACGTTTATTAAAAATTAATCAAAAAAAAAAACCATCATAATTAAATGGGTTGAGGTGTTTTCAGTACTCTAAATTATATTTTTGGGTGTATTCTTAGGGGTGCTCACCATCCTGAAGTGTTTTTTTTTTGCTTTGGCACCAAAAAATGTTTTTAGCTGCTGGATGTATCTAAAAAAAATATTTTGAGATCCCGGATGCACCAAAAAGTATTTTACTGGACGCATCTAAAAAAATATTTTTGGATGTTAGATACATCACAAAACACTTTAAGATACTGGATGTACTCAAGAAAATATTTCGTGATGCTGGATATACTTTCACCCTAATTAAATTATAAACAATTTCATTACAGTTTTTCTCATAGTAGATTTCCTCATTCGTCGATTGGTGAAGAACTAAAGGTGGCCTTCTTGTGTTGTTTGTTCATAATATGACAATCTTTTGATGATCGCCTCGCCCAAATTTGATTTCACCCACTGGTAAAAAATACTGGTTAAATCTTTCATTTAACAAAAATTAATTATTATACCGCTACAATTAATGAACGAATTAAAAAACCAGGAAAAAAAAACCAAAAAAAAAAAAAAACCTGAAGTTCAAAACGATGAATAGATGATGCAGATTATTCTTGCAATGGGTTTGACTATTTTTATCAATTTGAAATTCTTTTTTGACATTGCTGAAGAACATAATCAAGGCTTAGCACCTTGGGAGGGCCTAGGAAGAAAGGTAGAACAAGATGAATCACGCATAAACAGCCCCAATAATCAGGAAATAAATGGCGCTTCGAAGCTAAAAGTAACTGTCCTGATGGTGAGATATCCAACCTTATTATAATCATACCACATAAAATCGAGATCCTTCAAGAATTCATGAAGCTAATAATTAATCGAGGTAGACAATAACGATCTGCTCAACCTCATCAACGAAATATGTTCTCCATGCAGGGCACGAACGTGGTTTCTTAGCACAGACTCCTCCGTAGGTCACCAAGAAGGTTTTTCACATTCAACCAGTTATACTTTTACTTCCATTGTGCTTGGGTAGAATTATGCAACAATTAGAGTAGCGCAATCATACCCACTTGACTAAGCAGTTGATATATATACAATATGCTACAAGATCTCTGCCATCTCAAACTTGAGACTGTTCTCAGTTGTGTGTAGATGAACAAATCAAATTCTACTTGAGACAAGGCTTCTTCCAGTCTGCAAAAGATGCAGCAAAGGACATAGAACATCCATCCTGTGAAAGCCTCTGGGAACCTGATCCATTAAAATAGAACCATATCTCAGAACTAAGTTCCATTCATTATCACAAACAATCACACAAAGATGAAGTAGACTAACTGTGAATTATGAACAATCAAATAAAAATCTCACATTTAATCAAACTCGGCAGGGCATCATACCTTAACAATGAAACGGGCCCAGGCATTGCTTGCACTGCTTTCTAAAACACCTTTCAATATAGTAAGCTCCAACTGTCGAATCACTTGCGCAATCTCCAAGAAAAGTCCATGCTCACTACATATCACCTGCAACATAAGTGGAAAGCCATTCATTTAATATTCACTTCAAGTTTGTCTGGTCTGGTAAACTTGAGAACTCGTCATTAATTAGTGCAAAGGGCGTGTATGTGTGGATTCAAGAGTACCTCTATAAGCATGTGGCCTGGGCATTCAAGATCTTCTATAACTATAGGGCATACTTGGAGTTCACTGCCAAAGTCAATTGCACAGCTCCTCCCAGTATAATTGCCATTGATTTTCTGCTTCTTGAACTCTGGCACCTACATCAAGTCAGATTGTCCAGAGTCAGTAGCCAATATATATGAAGCAGTCCTTCCAAAAGATTTTATATTGCTTCTTCATCCTCCCAGTTTCAATATTGTTAATGGATAATTCATGCATTTTTCCTCCTAGAGAACTCCCACGAGAGACTGATTCAGTGCAGCACAAATCAACAAAATGCCAAGTTTAACGCTTATGAAAAACCTTGCAAAATTGGAGGTTGTCATATTTAAAGCTGGAGGAGCGTGTGTGAAGTTTAATCAACTTCAAGAGAGATTCTAGGATAAAGTAAATAATGAGGGGTTAAGTTTGCAACTCTTCAGAAGTGGTGAATTTGATTTAAAGATAATATATGTAGCTTGACTGGAATGAAAGGTAAGGCCACACGTCTTTAATTGCTAAAATAAATCCAATTTATTTGGACACAGCTTTACCTCCTTATGCTCAAATTGTTTCAATTTCTCAGCCAGGTTTGTTATTTCTCTCAAGTACAGCATGTGCTTTATGGTCCGATCTAAGAGGTTGTCAATGCTACACTGGAAATCAAAGAACATCAGAGACAAAATTAAAAGGTTTGCATAGGAACTCTAAAATGTTCAACTTTGGTCCTGGAGAAACATCAACTTACCTTGGCACCATCTGGGACAAGTTCCCTCAGCTCCTTCATCCGGTCCATAATCAACTGCCTGTCCCTTGGTCTTGGCCTTGGCATATTTCCTGCACGGCCTCTTTTCTTGCCCATACTAGAAAGTTTTGGCCCACTCTTAGGCTGCTTATGAACATGAACAGATTCTTGCTTTGCCCCATCAAGCAATATGCTTGAATTGTCATCCAAAGATGCCAATGTAAGAAGATCAGTACAATCATCTATGTTGCCCCCAAATGCTGACGTAAGGTGGCTACTTGAATCAGCATTATTTACCATCAAAGTGCTGCCCTCAGAATGACTTTGTGGATGAATGGAAGTAGTTAATACTATTGGCAACGTCGATGAAGAATCATCAGAGGCACTGCATAAATTGCGGACAACTGCATCCAAAAGATATTCTGATTTGTGTCTGTCGGAAAATTGAAAACCCACATGACCATGCTCTTTTTCCCCAGCTATCAACGTGGAGCTAGTACGACACATATCTTTAAAAGAGGAATATTCGGACTGAGGTTCACAAGTTTGTCTATTAGCAATAGGTCCTAGTGCTTTGTGTAATTCAGAATCCAACGGAAAACCGCAGAAACTGACCTTATTACAATCGTCATGGTCAGTGCCAGTGCCTTCAAATTGTTTGGCCATATCCTTACGAGAACAAGAAAATAATCCCTCAGATGTCTCTCCAAATGCTCCCATATTATTGACCCACGGAGAACTGGTTATCACTTCTTCCATTTGGTTTGATTTGACTTCCACATGACCATTGTCATTTGACACCGCAGTTGATGGAGGACTGGTCTCATTTTTTCTGGACATGGAACCTTCAGCCGGAATAAATGATGGGGCAGTTGGATTCAACCTCAAATCATTTATATTAAGTGAATTGCCACCAAAAAGTTCATGTGTCAGGATATTATTTGTAACAGATGATACATCTGAATTATCCAGAGGATAATCTATCAGAGCTGAGAATGACCAATCCTGAATATTTTCATCTGAGCTCAAAGGCGGAGTATTTGCCGTTACACAGTGAAAGAAATTGAATTTCTCCTTCACATTGGCAGCAAATGCCAGGTCCTCAGCAACCTATAATCTTGACAGGAAACAAAACATCCACGTGAGCAAAACAGACATCAACATAAAGCATACATAATTTGACCCATATGCTCTCATTTCAGCCAATGGATATCGCACACTTTTAAACATGCAGAAATGCACTAATAGATTATGACACGTAAACCAGTTGTGCTGATTTGATCCTATTTGCATGCTGATTTATATATATATATAGAGACATATATATATAGAGAGAGAGAGAGCAAGAAGGAAAACAACAAAATTTAGATATTCTCATTCAATTTGTGCTGCTACTGACATGATGTCACCCTATCATTTGAAAACCCACTGCTGGTTTAGGTTGGCATTCAGGTCCAAAGTATAGAACAAATACACACCGCTTCGAATGAGCCGAATTGCAAAACTCCATGTGGAGGAACCGGTACCAGTACAATAGTCTGAAAAATGATTTGAAGGGAGAAAAAGGATTGTCATTTATCAGGTATTACATCGTTATGAAAATGGCATGCAAATTAATGTTTCTTCAAGTAGGCAATTATGTATCCACAGAGTAGGATAGTAAACTAAGCAGCATACATGGGAAATGCTGAATCATTCATCCAGGCATTAGACCTGGAAATCAGACCTTCTATCATGGCATGAAGTAAAATAAAAAATAAAAAAAAATCATCAAGACTGGAAATTAAAACCTTGATAGCTGATGCAAATTGAAGAAGCCATTCATATGGACACTGCAGGAGGAAAAGATTAAGCATATATATCAATAAAGGAAGAAAAAAATTAATAGCAATACTCTGTAGTTTTCACATAGAACTTATATCATCAGAATCTCACCTCATCAACCAACTTAGTCTGGAATTTACCAGTTAAAATATCTTCAACTAAAATCCAACAATGATCCCCCGTAAGAGCTACTTTGCCAATAACCCTGACACAGTAATCACAAGTAAGGTTAATGTGAGCTTCCAGATGCTTTCACAATCAAAGAACACAAGTCCTTTTTTTTTTTTTTTTTTTGCCTGGTATACATGAGTGCATGCATTACAGCTGCTTATTATTTCCTAACAGAGCCTAGATAGGTGATATTTTTTATTACAATGCAAAAAGGAAGCACCATGCAGTCCATTGCTTCAATATTGATGGAATGTGTATAACTACAATGTCAATCCTGCCGGTTCAATCAGATAGGCAGAAAAAATGCTGAACCATTCGACCTCATAAAATTCTCGCTCCATCCAAGATTCATCTGCATAGAATTTTTCAACCACACACACACACACACATTGTCGTATTTCTGATAAGACATTCTCTTTATGCATATATATCTATGTATATTTAATAGTATGAAAAAAAATATTAATAAATA